GAACCCAAACTGCTTATCAGTAATAATGTTAAGGGATTGTAGATAGTTACACATCCTATTTTTTACTAAATTTTCAATGACCTTGGACAGAGTGGAAAGTAAAGAAATTGGGCGAAAGTTAGAAGGCTCCTTAGTATCACCTCCCTTGAAGAGAGGAACCACTGTTGAAGATTTTAGGCAGGAAGGAAAAACCCCCTGCTGCCAGGACTCGTTTATGCAGTTGGATAAGGCTTCTAAGGCTTTATCCGGTAGTTTTAACAGTACTTCAGCAGATATGTCATCAGCTCCCTGGATTTCTTATTTGTTATTTCAGCAATAACTTTTTTTTATTTCGAACTTATCAAAAATCTGAACGGCTAGTACTGAGTCTGTGGTTGGTTCCTTGTGAAACATTGTTGAAATATTAGTATATTAAAAAAAAACAACCTTTTTCAAGAGTTTCTTAAAAAAATTTAAGAAAACAGTAACATTTCTGGTATTTCGAGTCAAATTGTCGTTATGAACCGCATGTTACAATTTTCAGTTAAACCATATGCAAAAATGTCAAAAGTTGATATGTGATGTGTCATTCTATTCAAAGTGTCATTTTCTATCGAATGCAGTAATAAAAATACTGAGGATGTCATTAAAAAATCAAAAGTTGTAGTTATTTACGTCTATCAATCCTGATTTATGTCAAATACTAAAGTACCAAATCTCGTTTCATTATCAGAAAAAAAAATAAAAAAGTTATAGGGGTGAGCCACCTTAAAAAATAGTTCTTTAAGATCAGAATTCGGGTCGCTCTCAGGGATCGGGTAAAGCGGGTGTATGGCCGAAGGAAATATATATTATATTTCAGAAATCTGCCTAAGGCTTAGCCTGATCCTTTGCAGAGCTTCAGCATTTGCCATAAAATAGCGAACAATTTATTACAAAACCATATAAATTATATATTACTGTAATCACAAATAACACAAGTATTCACGGTTTTGGACCTGAGCAACTAAAAGCAATTTCTAAGATAGTTTTTGGAGCTGAATCCAAATCAGCAGTCCATTTTTTAAGATTGGTTCTAGTTTTCGGAATATTTAATAAATTCATTATTTTACTATTTTTGACCGTTAACGGTCATTTATTGGATTAAACAATATAAATCAGAAGCCTCATCAAGCATTTAGACATTTTGTAAACGTTGCGTCAGCCATTAGTTTTCGAATATCAGGTCCGACAAATATTCCTTCTTTGATTTTTGCGTATGACAGTTTTCGAAACAACTTGGTTAAGTACTGGAAAGCCGGTCTTTCGCGATTGAGCGCTTTGGCAAAGTTCTTAATAAGGCCAAGTTTAATATGAAGAGGTGGCAGTAAAACGTCCTGTGGGTTTACAAGTGGTACAGAGGACACATTTTGTTGTCCTGGCTCATAGTGGGTACGACTCGGCCACACCGAAAACTAGAGCCAATATTGACAAACGGATTGAAGATCTGAGTTCAGGGCATCAAATAACGTTAAGAATCGTTCTCATCTGCTCGGGTCCAAAAGTTGACCCGAATTTGTAAACTTGTGTAATCAATCTATCGCAGGTTACAGTCGCAGCGATTTAAAAATCGCTGTCGCAGTTTCACTTGCTATTGGAGAATCGCCAGTTTTGCTCATCTCTAGTATTAACAGTTCGTCGAATTCTAGGTGCACAAAATGAAACTGTCAGTATAACTTTACGATAATAGTCACCAAACCACCGAGTCATATTAAAAAAATAACATCAAAAATTAATGATAACTGAAAAGGTTGAAAATTGTTGGTGGCACTTTCATTTCGCTCTTAAAAATTCACCAAGGCATGTGTTGACTTGAGCTACAAAACAAAATGCTCAGAAGACATGGATCTGACCGAAAAATAATGTTTTAGGAAAATTTGCCCACGAAATTATTGCATAGGGTGTTTTAAAGATAGAGTAAAAAACAACATTTTGCAAATACTAAAGTTTATTAAAACTTATTTTACGAATTAAAGTATATATATTTATATACTGTTTACTAAAAAATTCCTGAAAATAGGGTTAAAAATAAAAATATATAACATTATAAATTTAATGAAAAAAATCCCGTTGCATTTTTTTGCATCTAAGTTAAATTAGTACCTATTTATAGTATTCTTAGTATTTTCAGTACTGAAAAACCTCGAAAATTTTGAATCCATTTTTTCAAATAATATAAATTAAATATGCAAATGCTCCCAGTTGCCTTAAAGATATTCGTTTTCTAACAAATATACCGGAAGTCGCTAAACTATAATTAAGGTATTGCTTCTATTAAAGTATTTTATTGCTGTAAGTGGGGTAGGGTTTTATAGTTATCGGTCCTTCTTTTACGTTAGTAGGTAGATGTATAAAATATTTGAATTGAATTATTATGGCTTATTTAAATATGAAAAACATTTTACCTAGGTAGGCAAATTTGATGGTAATTGAAAAAAATTAGTCAGAGATGGCTTGGAAATGAAAATCCATCGAAAATATAACTGCCCTAACAACATTTTACCGAACCAGGAGAAAGTAATAATTTTCAAATTATTATCATTATCAGGGCTCATCCCTGTCAATTTATGTAAAGTTGTATTTATTAGAGATGGGTAGGTCCGGATGGATATGCATCCACGGACCTCTTTTCGGTGCCGGTACTGATCGATGCATACTGATCGATGATACGGCAAACGGTGCAGATTAGTGATGGTTGATCCCAATATTTTTAAGGATCAGTTTGGAACTGATCCCATGTACACAAATACCTGATCCCGGGATCAGTTCCTGATACCAATCCCAATTGATCCCAACCGCTGTTTAAGCTGTTTTCGATTCGCTCTGATTTGACTTCATAGTGCTTGTATGATGCAAGCAGTGTTGCCAGAACTACGGATTAATTCGTAAATTAGTTATATATTGTTTATTTGTTATATCTCATTTCTCATACGTTCTAGTGACGTATGGATTTTCTGTCATTATTGAACAATTAACCTTTTTGTTATTATAAGAAAATATCAAAAAAAACATATTACGAAATATCAACAGCTATAAATAAATTTTCATAAATTAAACAATACTTTAATTTATCGTTTATCTCACCAAAAATTTTGAATAAAAAATTAAGCAGCGTAATATCGACTCTATAAATTAAATCGTTGGATTAACAGGCACCAGACGATATAGATAACGCGAACTGTTTTATATTATTGTTTGGATAATGATACAGGTATATGTAAAGATACTTATGAAACACATTTATGATAAAAATTTGTCTTTATTCTCTTCTTGTAATAATAGATAAAAAATTGTTTATTGTAATACTAGATAAAAAAATAATTTGGTAAATCTTAGAATGTTTATTTTGTTCTATTTTAATTTCAATATTATTAATAAGAATATAATATAAATTTTAATTTTATTTACTACGGATTGTATTTTTTGATTTGGCAACACTGGATACAAAATGCCACTGAGCCGTCTAAATTATACGTCCGTGAAAATTTTTACTTACTTTTTTTTCTTTTTCGCTTCGATAAGTTTGATAGAGTATTGATGTCTATTTGATTTTATGAACGAAGCTTATTTCCACTTACACTTTGATGATATCTATTACAAACCGATTTAAGACAAAGGCTTTTATCACATTTTATCCTTTTGTTTATATAAATAAAATAAAAAATAAAACCTGACTGCTTTTGCACTGGATTTTTATCAAAAATTATTTACTTAAGCCCTGTCTTTTGTGCCATAGAAATATTGTTTATTTACAAAATTGAAAAACTATTATAAAAAAACTCTCTGTCGGCGACAGGAATGGACGGCATTACTATCCAATGGTTTATATAACATTTTTATGGTAAAATATATAAAAATGCTATAAAATATATTATAGTATTATTGAAATGTTAAAACTTAGTTTCAAAACCAGGGATAGTAGTACATACCTACCTATTAATTGATATGCTTATTATGTTTTCCTATTTTCTGTTTTAGTCAGAATCAAGGTAAACTTTCTATATATATATATATATATATATATATTCTTTTTTCTTCAGTTTTTAAGTCGGCGCTAGACAGTGGCGTATACAGAGGGGGCCCATGGGGCCAAGGCCCCCCTAAAATCTCTAAATTGGGTTAAATATTAGGCTTTTGGGTTAAAAATGGTGTTCTAAAAAGCATATTCTACAGTACTTTTTATTTGGCCCCCGCCCCCTAAAATAAATTCCTGTATCTGCCCCTGGCGCTAGACGATATGCCCCCCTGAGGGTATATAATATGACTGCTACTGATAGCATTTGAATTTCGTGAAAATATTTGTATTGAAATTTATTGTCAAAAGTAACAAATATTATTTTTTTTAATTTCTATATAGGCATACTAAGATGAATTAAATAAGTTTTTAAATTTTTCTTCGCAGCCAATTTTAAAATAAAAGCATTCGTATGAGCGTTGATTTCTCGAACTTTTATATAAAATAGGTTGCCGAAAAAAAAAATACTGTCAATTTTAATTTTTTTTTCATTTGTTGATTTTTAACTAATTTCGTTACGTTAAACCGTTTTTTAACGTCGTAAAAAATTACGACGTTAAAAATGTTTTCATTTTCATTTACAATCTAATTATTATTATTCACAATCTAATTATTCTAATTGTATTTATTTATTTAAATAATTTTTTTTAATAAATAAATATTGTTAATTTTTTATTAATTTGTTATATTTTATGCAAAAGTATAATATTATAGTAGAATAGCCCTTAAACTTTACATAGTATCAAACCACTGTGCTGCGAATATAATTAGTTTTTGTTTGCACTCCAAACATTTTTTTTGCTTGAGGGGGATGCTACCTCACTTATAAAAACAAAAAATATATCTCCGACACCTATTATACTGTCAGTTCTTAAATTCGAAATACGTTTTCTAGTGCGTTCATCTTGTTACTTGTTTTTTTTTTGTTTCTGTTTTTTGAAGAAGTATACGAACGTGAATAGCTAAAATGTCCAAACGAAGTCCAATATGGCTTTATTTTTCGATACGCGACGAAGAAAAAAAAACTGCCCAATGTGATGTGTGTAAAACGAAAATTGGATACAAATACTCTGTTTCAAATTTAAAAAAACATTTTTTTAAACAACATCCCAATATAAAAATTGTCCAAGACAAATGTAGTGTTGAAAGTGAGACTGTTTTAAATTCGGGAGATGAAACCAACAATGAACAGGGGGCATCTGAATCAACATCATCGGATGGGAATTTCGCAACAGAGGTAATTGAACCTATGGCTGGGCCTTCTAAACAGCAAATTCTTAAAAGAAAACAAGAAACTCTTACATCGTATATCCCAAGAAAAATTTCTACAACTGCGAAACACAAGATAGACAATGAACTGTTAGGACTTTTTATATTCGATTACCAACCGTTTAGTGTAGTTGAAGATCGCGGATTTAGAAATTTTGTTAATCATTTAAATCCATCATATAGCTTACCAACTCGGCAAACTATTTCAAACACTCTTATCCCTTTGGAATATGAAAAGTGTTACGAAAGGGCAAAAGAAGAAATTAAAAAGGTTGTTAATATTTGCCTAACTACTGACTGTTGGACATCTGTAAAAAATGAAGGACATATGGCAATAACCGGTCATTACATTGACAATAATTTTAAAATGTCCTCTATATTATTAAGTTGTGATTTACTAGAAGAAAACCACACTACCCTAAATTTAGCTTCTAGATTCAGAGATGTTTTAAAAGATTGGCAATTAGAGAAAAAAGTTATTTTGGTCGTATCAGACAATGCAAGAAATATTAAAAGTGCAATAACTAATGAGTTAGGTCTGAAATATTTTGGTTGTTTCGCCCACACACTTAATTTAATCGTACAGGATTCTCTAAAATTAGTGACAGACGTTTTGGACAAAGTAAAAAATATTGTAGCACATTTTCGGAGAAGCACCGTTGCTAACACTAAATTAAAAAACTTTCAGAAGCAATTTGGTATTGATCCTCCAAAAATGTTAATACAGGATGTTATTACTAGATGGAATTCTACATTCCATATGATTCTAAGATTTGTAGAACTCCAAGATCCGCTAAGATCCGTAACGGGTTTGTTAGATGCTCGTTTGCCACATTTGGATGCTGACGAATGGACTCTACTAAAAGAACTCTGTGATGTTTTAAAACATTTTGACGAAGCTACCAAAAATATTAGTGGACAAAATTATATATCTGCTGCACTTGTGATTGTTTTACAACGTGGTCTGTTAAATATTTGTGAGAGAATGAAGACCGAGAACATTCTAAATTCAACAAAAACTGTGATACAGAGCTTGGAAGATGGTTTGCGAAATCGGCTAGGAAATGTAGAATACAGCAATACCTTAGCTCTTGCAACATTTTTAGATCCAAGGTTTAAAATATACCCATTTAAGCATGACGACGCCGTAGAAAACGTTAAAAAATTAGTTATAAGTCTGCTTACAGAAATTATAAACAAAAGGAATAATGTGGAAAACCTTCAACATTCAAATCAACCTCCCCAAAAAAGCTCTGAAAGCTCTTTGAAGGAATCCAGTTCCAATACTTTTACACTCTGGGACTGTATTGATAAAAATGTGATTAAAAACAGACCTAAATCATCATCAGCATCAAGCCGCGCAATCATCGAGATGCAACGATATTTGGAAGATGATATTTTAGATCGCAACTGTAACCCTCTCGATTGGTGGAAAAATAACCACTACAACTATCCTTACCTTAGTGAAATTGTTAAGCACAAATGTTGTACCCTTGGTAGTTCAGTTCCTTGTGAAAGAATATTTTCGAAGGCAGAATATTTATTACAAGAGCGCAGAAACCGAATGTCACATAAAAAATTGAGTCAACTTTTATTTCTAAATACATATAAACTGCAATTTTCCAATTAAATGATATTTATAAATATATCTATTCCTATTTATACAATATATTATATTTTGTTTTTTCCTTAGAGTACATATATATATATATATATATATATATATATATATATATATATATATATATATATAATATTATTAGGGCATCGTTATTTAGTATTAATATTATTATTCACTCTATAGCCTCGATTTCATTAAATATTGAATTAACTATCTTGTTTTTCATGTTGTTTAGTATTATTTATTGTTGTCTTTTGTTCTGATTTTTATATATCTATGTTGTTTTCTGCGAAATATGCATTCCTAGCTTACGTTTTTGTTAGTTTATTTTTATACTTGTTTAGTTTCCCAAATATAAATAAAAAAGTCCTTATAAACAAATTTTCTGGTTTCAATTTCCTCAGTACCTTATCATGAAAAAGATTATACCTTAGTGTTTTAACACCTCGAAAAATTCTTTTTTAAAAAAAAAAATTTTTCACTGTTATTTTTTCAAAGGTCTGCAAAAAAAACAAATATGAATAATAAAAAATTATAATTATATTTTATTCTTTACTAAAAATAATAAAAAATAAGATATTCCTCTCAAAACCTTAAAATTGTTAAAGTTAAAAAAACTAAATGTTCTGTTTTACCAAAAACATTAAAAACTAAATCTTAACTTAAAATCATATTCCAAAAATTCATTATCGTCTCACTATCAGAACTCTTATTATCTTTGTCAGATTGAATTTGAAGATAGAGAAAGCAGTTTTAAAAAATTAATAACATACATAGTAGTGGCCCTTAGTATTTTTAAAGAAATAACCAGTTATTAAACATTTTCTGAGTCTAATCGTTTATTTAGGAAAAGAAAACGTTTTATTTAGGTATTCAAAAAAAAAACATTTTTTTAAACTATAGTATACCTACATAAATTATCAAGAATTGTATGTACTAAGAATTACTTAACATGTCTGATTAGTTAGTTTAATTATTATCTTCTTCCCATATGAATGTCGAAAAAAATAAATCCACTTAAAATTTAATGTACTCAGTTGGCCTTTAAAGTAATCTAATAAAAAAGATGAAATGTTTTGATCCAACCGATACTAATCCCGGATCAGTTACTATTATTCAACTCATTTTGATACCGTCCGCCGATGATAATCGCTGCGAAAAAGAATCAGGAATCAAGTATCGAGTCCGACTACATACAGTCGGTACAGTTGTGCGTCTGTATCATCTCGACGGGGATCAATGGTATCAGGTATCAGTATCAGTATCAGTGCCGATAGCCTGGATCGGTCTTTGCGGTTTACGGTTGCGTACTAGTTTTCGGCCGATTCATTTTCTCGTTTGGGATCAGGTACCTGATCCGAGCGTCAGGGATTAGATTCTGGGATCAGTTCTAGTATTCGTTCACCATCACTAATCCATACTAGTTGTTTTTTGGAATTGCTTCGAGCAGCATCGAATTTCGTGGCGGTGCAGAGCGCCGACTTCGTTTCACGAACACTCGATCTCTGCGTGTCGTTATTTTATATCTGTTATTTTTTAAAAGCAGTAACGGTTGCGTTATGTTATTTCTAAATAATTGTTATAAAACAACAGATAGTTAAATAACAACCCATCACTACAATCAGTCCTGTATAAAGTTAACAAAACGTTGGGATCATAAAAGACTAAAACATATTGATGTTAAATATAATTTTATTAAAGATCTAGTTATTGAAAAGATGGTTTTAGTTGAATATGTGAGGTCTAATGAACAAATTGCTGATATTTTAACAAAATTTTGCCTAGGTGTTTATTAAACACAGATTTAATTTAGGATTGTTACTATGTTAAAATTGTTCTATGTATTAGTATTAGATATTTTTGTACTGAAAGAAATTGTAGATATTGTGTACATGGTAGAATGTTTTGATTGAGAAGGGGTGTTAAAAAAGACAATCAAAAGATTCTAATATTGCTGTGTCTAGCCTTTTGTAATAGTCTAGTCTAATATGGAGATAAGTAAAGTCTGTGGTTATTAAGATGAAGTGAAGTGCGTTGCGTTTAGCATTTGAAAGCACTTCGTTTTTTTGTTCTTAGCAGTTCTTAGAGTTAATTAATTTGTTACAAGTAAAGAAACAATATTGTATGTTCGGTTTATAAATAAAGATATACACACTGCTCAACAAGTTCACATACAAAAAAGGTCAAATTGGTATTTGGATGAGGAACCAGTTCCGGAAGGCGCTACAAGCATGTTGAGAGTTTTAACACATGAAATAGGTCACGCCCTTGGTATAGCATTCTGCAAACGACAAATCTATAATGTACCCATCTTTGTTGTTTGAAAACACAACGAAACTATCGCAAGATGATATATTGGCAATTCAAGAATTTTATGGTTCCAAACCAGCAGTGACAACAACAATGAGAACCACGAAGACAACGACTATCCCAGCACCAACCACGCAAGGAATCAATTTAAAAGTTCCAAAATTGTGTGATTTAAATTCTAAGATGTCAAATACTTCGTTTCTAATTGTAAACAATAAGCTCTATTTGTTTTATAAAAGTACATGGATGTTAAATTTAAACACTAGGGAAATTCAAGATACGCCGCTTGTAATAACTGATTGGTTAAAATTTTTACCTATACCTTTTGAAAAAATATCAGGTATTTATCAAAAAACCAGATAATGAAATTGTATTATTCGCTGAAAGTATGATTTATATTCTCGAATACGGTTCGTTTAGGTTACTTAAACGTGAGTATTATAATGTTCTTATGCCAAATTATTCAACCATACGAGGGGCTGTAAATTCGTACCGCGGTAAAACGTACTGGTTTTTCGATATGTTTAGCGAAATTGACGATTGTCGATTTTTACCTAAAAGTACAGCGCAGATAACAGAACAATTTACAGGGTACCTAGTAAAATAGACTCTGTATTTCAGTACACCAATACACCAGACTCTGTATTTCGGTATAATTTATTTCCTTTATAATGGACATTATTATGGTTATGATGAATTTTCCAATAGTTTAAAAGTAACCAGTAAACTTAACTTGGATTTCTTTGGAATATATCTTGTCTAAACATTAGTTTATTAGAAAAACTAAAAGTATTGTTAAATAAAATTATAATTCAAAATACAGTGTAAGAATGTTATATAAATATCTATATTAAGATACCACGAGTGTGGTTATTATGGTTTCAGTCGTGCACTGTATGAATGTATTATTTAAAGACAAATGTATGTTTCCTAAATAAATATATCTATTAAAATTGTTTCTTGCAGATAAAGTTAACCAGTGAATTTTGTAACTCTGGTTAGGCTTTCAAATATTAATAAATACTGTTTTAAAACTTTATATTTTTCTAAATAAAATTTATCACTTGTCACCTGTGTTGCTCGTAATAAAATTAAACGTAGTAATTATTTTAGTTTCCTATAATTATAGTATATCTAAAGAAAATACCTCAATACATTTTATGTTTTTTTTTTATTAGCTTGGTCTATAAAATATAGTTATTACATGACCCTGGATAGCCACCCAGATAACCGTGTGAATAAGACCTATACTATCCGCCCAAATCTGTACTAGTCCTGGTGGTGGTGTTGGTTCGGGTGGGGTAATTGGGTGATGATGTAATCGAACTGTAAAAATATACATTTTATAATATATTTATAAAACAGACCAAGAACTATATAAAAACCTTAAACTATAAAAAGATTTAACTATTAAACTGTTAAAATTAAATCTATAATAATATTTCGAAACGACTTACATTTTCGCCAGGGAAAAATCCCCAGCGACATCTCAGGCGAAATCCAATGTAAATAATAAATCTAAAAATAAAGTAAATATTTATGTATGTGTTAGAGTCCTTAACAAAATATCAATTATATAATTAATATATAATTATAATTTAATATTTATCAGTATTAGATTAGAAAATATATAGGAAAAATTAATACTTACATTGACACATTTTTACTAAAATAAACGTTTATTAGAAAATGCTCTCTTTTATAGTTAAGTTCCCCTCTTTCTACTAAGTGATAAGGATACATATATAAAGTCAGCTACCATTACCGCATCTTTTTAAACCACAAATTTTATGAAAATAATTATTTCTTTCCTTACCAACATAATGGATGCATTATGTACTATCTCGCGCGAAGAACAAGTTTGGTATGTGGATGGTGTTACTACGTGTTTATCCTTGCAGAGCAACGAACACATTCACATTTACACAAATGTGGTTGGTGTTTAAAAACATTCGGAAAGATAGGTACGTATAAACGGCATAAATGTAAATTTAAACGTTTATATGTCCGCATAGTTAGAATGTAGCTGCTGCAGTAATAATGGTAATGATTGTATGTGTCGGTGAAAGATTTTGTATTCGTACTATCTATCACCCGTTGGTGAATTAAAGAGTCGTTTGGATTAAGTTCTAGATTAGCACTCGTGCTGTCTACCATAGTTAGTTAGTTTAAGAGCTTGCGGTTGTTTTTATAAAGTTACACACCCTGTATATTAATTTTATTATGAAAGTAATGGTTCGCCTTTAATTATTATAAAAGCAACCAACTAAATTAGCTACACCCTGTATATTAATTTTATTGTTTATAATATAATTTTCTTTTTTAGACTCCAAAATCTGTATTTGTTACAACCTTATCAGCATAACCGTTTTATAGAAAAACAATAATTTTAAGCACTCATTCAACCTTTTCAGTTTGTTTCCAACAGTTATAGTGTTAAAAATTACTGTGTTGTTACTAAATATGTCGATAATAATGACAGTGATGAATAATAGTGAGTACATATTTTAGAGTTTTTACGTTTGATTTGTTTAAGCAATTTTCAGTAAATTTCGTATATGTACCTTTGGTAGTATGTTTAGGTTAGATTTTTTATCTTCGTCTTTTTCGTTCAATCCCCTTAAATTAATTTTATTCCTTCGTTATACCACCATATATTTTAACCATAACAAAAATTTATTACACTTATTTAAGACTCA